TTCCAATCTAAAAAATATTTCCCGCAAAAAAATATTTCTTGGAAATATAAAATATTTCTTGGAAATATTTTTTAAACTGTAAATATAATGAAAGGGAAGAATAACCCATGGATATAAAGTATGTTTTAGCTAATTCAATACATTGCTAATGATGTATGTGATTATTATCTCACGTGCCTTTTGTTGTTGTTGATGTCATTATTGGTATGAGAACAGTTATCCATTCATTGGCAACCAGTGGAATTCCGAGTGGATTTTAAGATACTGCTATTAACCTATAAGGCTTTAAAAGAGCTCACCCCCACATTACTTGCAGGAACTAATACATTTATATATTCCATCAAGGTCCTTAAGATCTTCTGATCTGCAACTGCTCAGCACTCCTAGGTCCAGGTTGCACTCTTTTGGTGATCGGGCTTTTGTTAGCGTGGCACCCAAGCTATGGGAACGCCTTGCCACTTGAAATCAGGCCATTAGAGTAAATAGATATATTTAAGTCTGGTTTGAAAACCCAACTCTTTAAAGTGGCCTTCCCTCTTTAGTTTGGTCGGTTTCCCTGGTTCTGTTTTTGTTTCCTGCTTTCCATGCATTGCGCATTGGGATCCTCGGATTGAATGCGCATTATAAATGTTAATTATTATTAAAGGCTTGGAAAAAAACTCACATGTCAGCTCTGGTTAAGTAGTCTGGATAAATTGAAAGTTTATTTATTGAAATAGCCATGACCACATTCACAAGAACAGATCTGTATCACCATTTCCTTTTCTTTGTTAAAATGTAAGAGTTCCGAATAAAAAATGTGGTGCAATTATGGAGGGAAAAGAAAATTGGGGAGGGGGGGGATTGGGAATGTTGACAAGTGTAAATGTACATTTGCATTTATTGTCTGTATAATTATAAAATATATTTTATTTTACCAATGTACAAACCTTACGTTTTATTTAACACGCAGGTGTGGTCAATATTCATAATAGGGGGGGGGGGGGTTGGGTTATATTGCGTAAATATAAATGTGTCATAAAACCACCACCAGTCAACACAGGAAAGTGGTACGGCTTGTAATTTTTTTTTATTTTGAATCTATTTGTTTATTCTTCACCTTTTTCGCATTACAGTATTCACTGTACACAGTGAATAAAAGTACACATACATACCGAAACCCTATATAATACATTGCTAATACAGTAGTTATTTTATTAAAAAAAATATTCCAGTGAATACGGTTCTGCTTACTATACGTATATGATAAGAAAACAGTGTTTGTTCCGCTTATATATTTTCGCATGTCTTCTGGTAAAGTTTGTTCTGAATAAGACTCCTCGCTCTGACCTTCATTTGTCACCATTATGCTAAGAACTCATTTGCGAATCTTTATTAGCTTTAAGGTAGCTCGAGTGCCTGGAGCATATTAAAACTGCACAGTATACATCATCTTCTTAAACCCTAATTGCCAATAGGAGTAAATTAGCTCTGGAGTATTCCAAGATACGAATAGCAGCTCCCGCACAAATATGTACATAAGTGCATTCCTCTAGGCAAACCCTTAGTCCACCTCTCATGACTATAGAGATTCAGTATTATAAATTTTACTCAAGTAAAACCACTTCTGCTCAAATGAGCATTACTGCAATGCAGTGCTCATCGCCTCTCTGCAGCCCTGAGCCAGTCCTGGATAATGCCCCAATTTGTACGGCGGGGGCGAGTCTTATCTGTTGGACATCCACAGTTGACTCCCTCACAAAGTGGTACACTACCAATGTTATCGACCCAGGAATGATGATGGGCCGAGTCATCACCTAACCAGGATTCGTAGTCACAACCTTCCGATCCCGAGCCGCTCGCTCGACCACACAGTCATTTGGCTGATGCATTGCAGGAAATGAGTCGTGCGCTGTTAAGAGTCATTTACAAAGTATAATGGTTTAAATGTGCACAAGTGTGGCATTAATATTGTGCAAACACTGGTTCACTTTGTCACTTAACACACTGTTATGCCTTGCTTATTGTTTTGTGGACCTTCGAAGCGGTGCTTAATATGTGTGCTGTGTTTTCGCCGTGTTAAGGCTGTAATGAGAATTAACAGAGACTTTTATTGCAGAGCAATTTGGTGCTCAGCACAACATGATTAATACCGGAATTTTAAATGTGTGAATTTATTCATGTGGTCTGATTTTTTTTTTACATGGTGTAAACAGCTCGTGTTATTCCAATGTGTTATAGAATATGCCGCATTTATTATTTTGCCTTTGTCAACGTTTTCCACTGTGTATCAAATGCCCTTGAATTTACCGAATTTGTCTTATTATTTGTACTAATTTAAAAGCAATGTTGGTGTTTGCATCATCCGAAGAAAATTCATCGCCAGAATTGCAGATGCTTGACTTCTTTTGAGCGCACGATAATATGCAATGAACAAAAAACATGCATTTTTCATGGCAGCAACTATTAAACAAAGAATTGTGATTTGAAATCAATAACTAGAAAATATATAAATCATTACAAATTGAATCAGAACAATCTTAACATTTCGAGATCCCTCCGGATAAGCCAATATTCTGCTGTGCAAAATGTATGAATAAATTAATAAATCAAAAGGCACATTTACATACTAACGTTCTGCAGGAATTCCTCGTGTGTGCGCCTATGTAACAGCGTATCGCTGGCCAATAATAAGTAATGTTTTTTTTCCGTGCATTAGCTGTCATCCCTGTAGAATTATATCAAGACAGGCTAATAAGCGGAGATACAAGCGCACGGGCATGACAATACTCCCACACTCCTCTTACCATGGAGACAGAGGGTTTGAAGGCTAGCTTGATCAAAACAAAGCGAGCACGCACAGCAGTAGCGCAGCAATATCTTGCTCCAGTCTGGACATCCAATTAATGAGCTGGCAGGTGAACCTCATAGCACGTAGAAGAAACAACAAAAACCGCACACATGCAAAAATGTTTTTCCATGTACACATTAAATCGCACCCCCGCGCTAATGTGCGCGCAGACTGTGAACCACACGAGGTCATGGTCACACGGGCGCATTAGAGTTTGGGTTTTTTTTTATTTCAGTGTGTGCAAAAGGGGGAAAATTATGCAGGGTTTTCAGGCGGTACGTTATGAATCGTGCGAGTTGCATTTGTGGTGAAGCGTCAATTCAATATCCATTTTCCTGAGGATGTGTATTTCTTAAGTGTTGGATAAGGTGGACGTCAGAGAGCATGTGATTTCTGCATGCACTGGACAAAGATGGGATTTTTTAAAAATCAGTTTGATACGGAATACTTTGTTGGACAAGTTCATTGTTGATGTCTAAACGATTGCCCTGTTTATCCTTTGTAAAAAGAGCAGCGATAGTTTTTATTTAATTTTCAGATATGGCATGTGCACAATGTGCTATTAAAATCCAACGATGCAGTGTGCATGAAAGTATTTAAAACATCATATTGTGCATGTAAAATGGGTCAGATTATTGATGTTTACGCAGGCATACATGCTGTATAATTCCTAATAACGCTTTCAAATGTAAATTAAAGGCAGTATTTATGCGTAAATGATGTTCAATGCACGATCAAAAATGTTTGCCTGCTTGCAAATTTATTCTGGTGTTGTTTAGACAAAAGCTGTTCAATAAATAGCACCACTCCTTGTGTTATCAATGTGTCAATTTGTAACTCATTTGCTGGATCATGTTAAAGTGAAGATGATTCAAGTGTTTCATTATAAATTTACAGTTGTTTGTTAGACGAGCCTTAAGGGTTGTAACAATGATTTATACATAACAAAAATAGAGCTTTTATATATTATTAATAGATTCTATAATAGCAGAATAGTGTTTCACTGCATGTCTGTAACTGTCTTTCAACAAAAGGGCAATTTAAATGAATCTCACACCAAACTGATTCCTGTGAAAGTTACTCGATCTCTATTGAAACTCAGGCTGTGGTCCATGACGAGTGCTCTTGTCATCTTTCTCGGGTCCTTCGTGAGATCGTGAGCCGTGTGCCGATTGGTCAAAGGGCGCTTGAAGCGGCACACCTGCAGCCAACTCAAAGGTAATGAGCGACGTGGATGGGGGTGAGGCTCTTGTCAAAATTAACATAAGGGGAGGACTCGACCACTTGCAACGTACCGGCGGGGATATTCACTTTTCACCGCAGTGTGCACAATACCTTACACAGCAGGTGGCAGCAGGCCCTGCATGAGTTGCGTTGCATTGTTAGCACCTATGTGAGGATTCCTTTTTATTTTATTCATCCCTAGATTTCTATTTTCATTCTGGTGGGAAATTGTGCGAGGACATAGTTTGAAGGGAAGTGTGCAATGCTCTTGCACAATAAATGTGTCGGCAAGAGCCTGCAAACGTTACTCGGAAAGTGGTGTGGTGTGAACAGGAGACTCATATTTTCCTTATGACAATTATATTGGAAAAGGAGTGATTCCGTTCTCACGAAGCGACAGCATCAATGCAAATAGGCCATGCTAGAAATTGTCTGTGCTATATATCAGGATGGGAACATATAGCAACTAGAAAAGCTCAAATGGTGCTTATGCGTATTGCGTTTTCTGCCCATGCTGCAATCCATTTATTGTATAATATATCAGGGCTGAGCTCCAGAAAGATTCCCCTCCCCCCTCAATAGTAGGGGGTGGGGTGGGGGTCCAGAGCATTGGGAGTTGGGGGGCCCCCAGAATATATTCCATGACGATTTAAGCGCTGGAATTTACCATTTTCAAGTAGCCAAATGCGCAGCTGAATTGATTAATAAAAAAACCAATTGTGTGGAAATAACTGTGAATTGAATTCAATGGAAGTAAATAAATCATTACGTGTAATTATTTTTTTCTGCTAGAATTTACTTTTTGTCACGGTTAAAATTACACAGATGCATGAAATCACACGGTCGCTATTTTTAATATGTCCAATCAGACGCCAGTTGTTGCTAATTGTTTTAGCGCCGAGCAGCATGAGATTACGCGGTGCGGTGACATTTAATTTTGATAGTCTTACTTTCCCGAGAAGAGAAAAAAAAATCGATGACGACGTCGTTTTTTTTATTAACCTCGTTATTCTTCTGTCGTTGGGAAGCAGAATCTTGGGATGAGTTGAGCAGCGGTGAATGATGAATCGTTCCTCTGGACGGCTGCCAGCTTACCTGAGTAATTACTCAAACTTGCACTCCTTGCGCGAGTGTTTATGAAGCTAGACGGAGGCTATGCAGGCAAGCGGATGATCTCTGGATAAATGCAGGCTGTGGCAACCTGCGCTGAATATCAAAAAGTGTTCCTTTGTTCAAACACATCATTTATGAGTGTGACATTTGTAAGTGAGGTATATATGTGCGTTCCAAATTGTTTTAGACAGTTTTATTTGAATATTCAACAACAAAAAATTAATCCATATACATACAAAAAAAAATAACACTAATTTATCATACGCGTTGTTATATTTGGTTTTACGTGTCCTGCGGTGAAGGGAATTTACAAAACAATGTTTGTTGACTGTAAATATTATAGCGCAAAAATATATATATCTGTTTCACTCTGTGAAACATGACACGTAGACCATTAAATAACACCCCTGCTACTTGGTACGGCCCAGGCATTGAGCAACAATTGTGCAGTAGGATGTTGAGTGCCCGTGAATACTGCACGAGGCTACGGGAGAGGCAACTGTAATGTTGGGCTCTTCCCACACCGCGGCTTCGCGATTGAGAAGTTAATTCATTCCTTAGAGTTGGGCACTCCACGTGCGCGTGACCCTGCTTTGCGCTGATTCTTCGTGGAGAGCTGCTCACTGGACAGCGTCTATCTATGGTGAATGTGCCATGGGGGTGTGCTTGTGATTTCTCAACAGAAGATAGCGTTTCCTGTGTGAGTGTGTGCAACTATTGCCCCAAGACGCGCAGCCCGTCAGCACACTGTAAAAACTAAAACTGTTCCGTGGCAGACACACGCCAAATTGAATGCGATGGGAAACCAGGTGGAGCGGCTGACTCACCTAACGTACAACGAATTGCCCACCGCCGACCCGACCGGACTAGATGCTGACCTGGGCTCCCAGATCGGGGTCTCCTACATTTTTTCTGACGAGGAAGAACACGTGGAGGAGGGCGGGATTTCAACAGAGGATACGAACACGGCTGCCCACGATGACGGCGGCGGCGGCAACGATGACATCGAGTATATGGTGTACCACAATGAAAAGTGCATCTTCTCCAAGCGCAGGACTTGCACGAACCTGCGCACGTACCTGCCGGACGTACTGGCAGCCCGCTGTAAAGCAGGTGACCTCGTCGAGTTCGTGAGGGCCCTCAAGCAGCCGCACTGGGCCGTGTGGGTGGGCAACGGGCAAGTGGTCCACCTGTGCAACCAGGAGATCAAGAGGGAGACGCTCGCGCTGGCCTCGCGCGGATGGCGTGGCCGAGTGGTCAGCGACTGGTACCGCTTCAAGCCGCTGGAGGTCGAGCTGGTGGTGCAGAACGCGTGCAAGCACGTGGGACCGTCGCGCGGAGTGGCCGACGCGCGTTGGCACACCTCGGAGGGATTCGCCGCCTGGTGCCGCTACGAGCGGCGAGAGTTCAAGAGCGGGGGCGAGATCCGCATCGGCAAGCAGCCGTACGCGCTCAAGGTCTACCTGGAGGAGGAGCCCATCGTCATGAGCTTCCAGAGCCTGGAGGATGTCATCGGCGAGAGGAGGAAGCGGGACAAGCAGGGGAAGGGCGCGCTGCTTCAGGAGCTGAGGCAGGAGCTGTGACGGCGGGGGGGTGGGGGGCGATGCGGTGGTGAGCATCAGGCGGGCGCGGTGGGGGGCGGAGGAGGAGGGGGGGGTCACCACTTTGGCGTGTTCGGACAAGTTAGACGTAGCCCTTCTGGGGATCAGGATTTCAAGTGAAAAGACGTTTTTTTGCTTTCGTCAACAAACAGGTTGTGTAATGCCTTCGTGCGTTGAACATGTTTGTGGATTTGTAGGGAGGTCAGGTTTATCGAATTGGATTTTTTTTTATTTGGCTTGCCGTAAAATCTATAAGAGAAGTCCAGTGATCTACGGTTACATATTAAAAACGTTTATTAGCAAATGAACTGAAATTACAGTGTGGACGTCGGGTGTATTTATTGTTTAATGGCACTCATCCTGGCGTGTGTCATGACCAGGATTGCATTTCAATGCGCAGCTGCCACAGCGTATTTTTCCTCTTCTTGTGGAGACGCACAAAGCAATACTCCACACAAAGAGGAGAAAGTGGCAGAAATAGAGGTTGTATCTCATAAAAGATTTATGATCAAAGGAGGAGCCCAGCGTGCATTTCAATTTCAAAATATTGAGAGAGAAAACTCAGAGATGTGATTTTGTGGACGAGATGTGACAGCATAATAGAATAAAGGATAACGGTACGTGGTTGCTCAAGATTAATATCTCAATAATTATAGACGAGACAGTGCAGAGAATATTTTCAATAAAAACAATTATTCCATTATATATTTCATAAATCCAAAAAGCCTGTTTTGTAATGTTGCCCACGCTGCCTGCAGTGTTTCAAATGTAGCCCCTTTAACAGTGATCGGTTAAGTAGTTTAAATAATTGCTGTAGTATCATTATTATTATGATGCATAATCATTTTCTGCCCGGTCACTGCGCAATCATTAAGACTGGTTGTTCAAGAAGCTAAAGCAAAATAACTTTCGGATTTAATTTTCCCCCCAACGTTCGCATAGTTGCTGGGGTATTTTATGCAAATTACTTCATACTTCCCTGCTCACAAATCTCTGTTGTAAAAGCAATCCAAGAATGTGGTAGGTGGATAGGGGTGTGGAATTTGACGTGCCAGAAAAATAATGTTTTTTTATAGAATATTTTGCAACTGTACATGCTATTTCTAAGAATATAACAACAACAAAATTATATCATATCACATGAAGTGCATTGTATTGTGTGTCCATGGTTTTCTATAAAACGAATGATCATTCACTGTAATTTGTTGAAATAAAATTATCTGCTGGATTATATGAGAAACGTAATATCTTTATTTTCAATCTTCCAATGTTATGAATGACTTCCCTTATCAATGATTATGTTATTTCAGCTGGGACCTGTGACCTGTGACCTGGTCAAGGTTAAAAAATATCAGTCACCACATCTTATTTAAAAAATAAAAAATTCTGAACTTTAGGTGACACGTGAAATAAAGGTGTTGTTATCGCTGCCTTTGCCTGCATGATGGATTAATCTCATTTGTTTTCATTGAAAGAGATATATGTGGGTCCCTACCCCAAGCTATCCATCGTCATGTGGCAGTGCAAGATTGATATGTGTCACTGGTGTATCACACGGTATCTGCAATTTACTTAACAACGTTGGTGCAGCATGTGTGGTTGTAAATGGGTGGCACTTTTAAAAGATTGAGGATATAAAATATTTTACAAGTTATTGGATTATAGCTACATTGCCATTTTAAAAAGATATATTAAAAAAAAAAATCTTTATTTGAAATTGTTAATAAATGTGTGGTTGAGTTTTGATTCAAAATTGTGAATATTGCCTGATCCTTTTTTTCCATTTTAATTCCTGAGCCAGAATTCTGGCCAAGATCATATTGCCTCTGTTCTTCCTCGCTCGTTCATCAGCCTGTGCTTCCACACATCTCTGAATTTGAAGCTCGTAGTTATGAAAAACCTGAACATCTGCACACATTTCCAGACAAGAGTAGGCTCCCTGAACTTTTGTTTGAGACCTACGTCTAATAAGCTTACTGTCATATGTTTTGCAATGCAGTAAGCTTTATATAGTCTCTCTTGCATTTTTTTGACAAATGCGGGTGTCTGCCTATGTGACCGTGGAATAATCTGCATTTACTTTAATGTCCGCTTTCTCTCCTCCAGTGAAATGTTTATTGTTGTAAAGCCAGTCCTGCTCAAAAAGAAGATCTCTCACTGCTTGCTACCAGCACTTAAGGCGAAGGGTTTGCTTTAACTTACAGTTAGAGATGCCACCTTTTGTAAGGAGTCAGCGATTCTGTTTATGAAAATCCAGTCCTGCAAACTTAAGATGCCGTGGAAATTCCCACGACTTGCCTATATCAGATTGTTTCATCTCTCCAAAAAAAATATTCCCAGACAGCAGTAACATGGACAAACTGAAGGGAGCATTGACTTGTACACTTCAGTTGTCCAAATATCCACATCAGCTAAATCTGTCACAATGCTTCCTCCATCCACACTCTTAAGGAGACCGACGTTTTAAGGGCCCATCATAGAGCTCTTCTTTACATTTATTTGTGTAGCAGTGGTTATATTAGTTTTCCTCAAACAAGTGTGTTACGATATTGCAGCGTTGCTTATCATGGGTACTTGTATGCTGAAGCTTGATTACTACCGTATTTGTTTTGCATCCTTCAATACCACTGCGTCGGATATCGCACTTGTGCTCCGTCGCTCTCCAGTGTGTTTTTTTGGTTGTACCTCGTGTTGTACGGCATGATATAATTGTCCAACATTTCGGCGCACCTGCAGGGAGCTTGAGGAACTGAGATGTGGAGCGAAACGTCAGACATCATGCTGAACAACGCACGGTACAATCTGAAAAAACACATCGGAGAGCGGAGCATCCTTCAATGTTCAAAATGTTCCTTCCTCACTGAGCAATTTTCAATCGCCGCATGTTGCACGTGTCCACAACCCATATCAGTGTACTGATTCAGCACTCCTGTTACCAAGAGTTCAAGCCCCAGTTTACCACCGGAGGTTAAACATTACGATGGGCAGAGGTTGATGATTTTAGCTAAGTTACAGGTGATTACCCAGCAAAACGCAATTCCCAAAACCAAAAAAGTGTCATTGCTCTTTCTGCAGTTGAGCACATCTTTTGAGGAAAACGTTAATAGGCAACGTATATGGAGCGAACTCCACTTATGTGCAGTGCTACGGTCTAGTGGGTGGATAAAAGTTGGCGATTTAAAACGTATTGAAAGTAATTGTGCAACATCTAGCAGTTATTGCAAAGTCACTGTCTCCTACAGAGGCTTCCGAAATCAGGTTAAAAGCGCCTTCTGATGCCAGACGCTGAACTGGTATAATTTTTTTGTCGAACATCCCTGAAGGAGAATGAAGGAACGCATACGGCAAGAGGCGAAGAGAAAAGTTAAAAACCAAACATTCGTCAATAAGAATTCGCGGCAGCCAGAGAATGTGTATACAGCCATTGATTGAATCTATATGATTGGAACTTTTGAGTGCAAAACATTTGAATGCATGGCTTTTGTCAAGGTATGCCTCTGTCCTCCCACAGACGCACATTTACTGGCCGAGAATTCCAGCACAGGACTCCCCGTGTGAACGCATGGTATTAGTAGTATTTAGATGCTAACATGGTTTTAATGGTTAGCGCACTGGACTTGCAATCCGCAGGTTGCCTCTTTCATCCCATCCACCGAAGCGGCGGTTGAAAGACTAGGCAAGTCTGTTAAATCCGTCTGCCCCGCGTCAACCAATGAATATAAATGGGTTCACCACCATCAGGCAATAGACATGGTCTGGCTAGAGTGAAAGAGTAGACCAAACACCCTCTAGAAGGGGCTGTCTAAAGCTGCCACTCGTCGATGCCCTTCGGTCAGCGCCAGCAAGACATTGTGCAGCCGCACCTCGACCCTTTCATTGCGCTTCATTCCGCAATACCATAACATCGGTTCACGAGAGTATGGGCCTATCACAAAAAAAAAACCGCTGGATATGTTGCTCACGGTCAGCCGCAATGTTGTTCGGAAAAGAGCACCGGCAAACGTGCGATGTTTTAAATTTAAACCCTGTGCAGTCCTGGAGTGTTGCAGGATTGTTATGGTAAGTACTGCAGAAGAGAGTAATGCTGTGTGGTGACGTATGGTGAGCATTAAGAGCCCTTGCAGCCAAAACACTGAAATACCGTCGTGTTTTTTTGTTGTTGTTACTTTGCGGTTGCTTCTAGAGCAGTTCTTAATGGGGAAAAAAGAGATGAAAATAAATTGATGCTGTAAATACATGCTGACATACACACAATAAAAAAATAAGGCAGTATGGCAAAGGGTTTTGACTTCTTTTGAAGTATCCTCTCATGGTTTTGATGACCCGTTGTTGAGTTCAGGTTAACGCAGGTTCTCATGAATTAAAATGGAGCGATACATTTTTGTTACAATGTCAGAGGGAATTCACACTGACCGTTATTTTGTATGAGAACTTGCGATCAGTTTGTTTTTAAGTAAATACACTATTTATATTTTAACAAAGAAAACATAAATTTTAATTTAAAGCTTTCGTGACTGCAGGGATTCATAGTTTTGGTTCTTTCGGTAAAGTCACGTAGAAAGGAAACAATAAAATAAAAAAGAACCAAGAATAAAGAAAACAGATCCACTTGTCTGCTCGCTTATCCACGGCAACATCAACGGGGGGGGGGGGGGGGGGGGGGGGGGGGTCTTGGTGTTTAGCCATTAAGCGTTCAATTGAAACTTCACTATCGCTGATGTGAGCAGGTTAATGGTGAACAAATGAAGAACCTGCGGATGTTTTCTTTGAAAAGTGCACGGTGCTGAACCTAACATTTCTTTTTTAGCCACGGTCGTTTATTACATTAAACCGTTTACACGCCTCGTCCTAAAACGAAATTACGAGGGTCTCCGTTTTAACTCGTTTTTGTAGAAACGGCCTGAACTCTCCAACAGGTTCGAGAGCAGCTAGACATTTGTTTTAATCTGCCAATGCTGCTACTCGCGGTTTTGCTATTATCGATTTGAGGGCAAATACCATTTTCAAGACCATTCTCTTTTCGTGATGGGTCATCAGTGGCTGGGCAGAGACCATCAAAGTCATAGCACATGGAATCCTTTCCAGACAGGAGTGATCAATGTTCTTTTGGAATGTGTCTGCCCTGTGGCTTGAACCTCAGATCAAGAGATGCTGGCTCAGTTCGCTGACATGGACATTACCCCCCCCCCCCGCCCTGAGCTAACAGTCACCGCTGAGTGCTTTCTAATATGCAGTAACCTGCTGACAAGGTGCTTATAGAAGTTTTTTTGTATTGCCATTACAATGCTCGTTGAGCTATACCATATTCCTATGCCATGTTGATGAATTTATGGAGAGATTAATAAACTGTGGATTCATTACCAATCTTTTAGGGGAATGGTGTCTTAGTTCATGTGAATATACTGTACAGTGAATAATTGAGAATTTGAACGGTTTTACATGGCGTGAAGTGATTCGTTTATTTGGCAATTATGTTTCCCAATGAAAGCAGTGTAATTACAAATGAACATAAAGCCAGCAATGTGAGATGCGATAGCAAGCCAAACAGTTTTAGGTTTGTTTTACGTCCGGCTGCCCATGGACAAATACACTATATAAGTGCATCCTGAAGCAGTGGTTCATTACATTGATGAATTCACACTACGTAGGCATAAGTAAAGGATATATTCACCGCTTAAGTGCTTTGCCTCTACATTACCAATGGTGGGTGCCCTTAATGATGAACTTTTTTAAAAAATTCCATTGAAGTATATTTATTAAAATATGAATTACTCAGGAAAGACAAAACCGTATTGAGAAAGATGAATAGGTTTTACATATACCATCTGTCTCATTAAAAAGCTGCCTTTTCATCCCCTCTTAACGGCATATTTTCTAAAATGAGTGCGCCATTCTAATTGTCCCCGTCGATACTGCGAATGTGCAGGGGGCCACGGCTGTTTCCTCCGCATATTCGACGCCGCTTTTACCCCTACAGCTCTTCTGGAGAAAACAATCATATTTACAGCAGGCAAACAACACACTCAGTGCTGAACTACGCGCACACTGATCCAGAGGCCGCCAGTTCAATTTGAGTCTACACCGCCCCTGTATTGCCCAGGAGTATATGTGGTGGTGGTGGGTTGACGTGTGAGTGGTCCCACCATTTCCAAGACGTCTGGCCGGACAACTCCTTCTCGACCTTTCTCCAGCAGGGGCGTGAGTAAGCAATGGCAGGGCTGAAACTTTAGC